ATAAAAAAAATACAGAATTAAATATTTCCGCTAGAATATTTTCATTTAATTCCATCAGAATTATTTCCAAGGGAATATTCCGGATTTGGAAATTAAAAAAGTTACGCAAAAAGAAAATTCTTAAAATTAACCCATAAAGACTCAGCTATTTTTTGCAGTATTTTATAACTCGCGACCTAATCGGTTTTAGCAAATGGTTAAAATTACATCAACTTCTTAACCAACAGTCGACTATAATTATATCGGAATCGAGGATGGTGAATAATTTTTGTAATTTCCGGCTCGGAGATGTTGCTAGTTAAATAGGGTGGTGTACGGTAATTAATGCAAGTGATTGCATTGCCAGCATGCAGGCTATTATTCTCGCGAATGAGAAGCTGGTGGGGTTAGCAGTTAGGAGGGGCGTCTCGACGCTGTCGGAGAAGGTTGTTCTGCAGCTGGTGGGCGCCGATTGGGGTTTGCAAATACCAGGAACGTGCATCAGCGAATATTCGGCAGTTGCGCGTCGACCGTCCACGGAAGAGGTCGCGAATCGCGCTCGTAGCCGATCTCGAACTCGTGCATTTCGTCTAGTAAACGCGAAAAAAGCCGCGAACGCGTTTTAAAATGCTCCACGGGTCGGAAGAACCGACGTGTTTGTTAACACCCTTCTTTTTCGCGAGAACTTGGAATCCCGTGCTGGAGAACGGTTGAAGCGGGACTGCCGGATAAAAGAGCTTCAGAAAAGCTAACGTGGTGCGTCTCGTGACTGAAAAAACCTCTAGAGACTTTGTTTTATTTGGCTTGCGAAATGAAATTTGCTGACAATCAAGCTAGTTAGCGTGTAGCTGAAAAGATAAAGTCGAACAGTCGAGAGAAAGAGTTTGAAAAACGCTAACGCGATGCGTTGCACAACCGAGGAAACTTCTTGAAGGCTTATTTCGTTAGAGATACGTTGAATTGGGTTACAACGGCGTTGCTCGATAATAGAAGTTGTTGAAAGCGGACAAACGTAGAATACGCGCGCATCGGTATTCGCGAAGAGGCGAAAGTCGAGGAGAAGAGAAATTTAAAAAGGTTAATGCGATGCGTGACGCTACTGGATAAATCTCTTCAAAGCTAATTCCATTAGGATGATGGAATTAAATTGTCCTAAAATAAGACCAGTTGCGAAAGAATCAAACGTATATTTTTGCATGTTAGCGTTCTTGAATATGATAATGTCGAACAGATTGAAAAATCTCTTCGGAAATTATTTCGCCGATTCGACGAAATTAAGTTGTTCCGAAACAACGATAGTGGAAATTACGAAGCCGCGTAATTTAAAATAGCAGTCGGAAATACTGCATGCGCTAATAAAATAACGGGTCCGAAAACATCGTTTATAGCGTTTCATCGAAACCAATATGGAGGTTCAATGCGTTTCCGGAGTTCGCTCGGATCGTGCACCGTATTCATTGTGAATGAGATATTTCATTTAATTTTCTATGCTACCAAAATGTGACTGTGCATGAATTTATACCGCCAAAAGATCAATAATGGTCACTGATGGTTCTCTGTCTGCACGCTCATACCGCGTACGTTTTCCACGTATCCAAACGGTCCACAAAGTTGAACGAGTCGACGTTCCGTATGAATACAGTTCTCAATTTTTAAATATTTATGTTCCTGGTAATTACAAAAATTTTCGAGTGCTCTTCGTCGACGATATCATTCAAATAAAATGATTATATCGTAAAGTTTCCGCAAATTGAAGCAACTAGTCGGAGTATCGGGAAATGTTCCGGTCTAATTCTTAGCGTATTTCGTTGAAGTTTCAAGATCGTCTATCTCGCTTGTATCAAGTTCAGCAAGAACATTCTTCCGTTTTCTCGAAGCATCCGCCAGTCGTTGGTTGAACGAGTTATTCAACACGGTCGTTTGTAATCTTATCTGAGCTACTTTGCAAGAGAAGCATAGTCGCTCTGTTCAATTTCACACCTCTCCGTCGAAGCAGCTGGTAGCTTCTCGATCTGCGAAACACGGTTCATCGTCCCGGTTAAAATTGACATCACGTCCGCCTTGTTCTCCTCTTTTTTCAACGTCATGCGGACTCCGCGGTATTATCAAAAATTTACTATCCTGACTTTCTTTCTGGGCCCTTTGGACAGGTGGAGCGCCTTCACCTGAGATTTCACTTCCTTCGAGAAGGAATAGCTAATGCCTTCCTTGCTTCTGTCAAGTTCAATATTTCCGAACGGTTAAGACACTTTGTTACGAAATTGCTTTGAAATTTAAGCGGATGCGCAGGCTAGACGAAATATGTTACGACTCTCGAGCATTACGGCGGTATTACCTGTTCCTACGTAGTTATTTTTTCGAAGAAAGCTCGCCCTTGCGAACGTACGTTCAAGGGTTATTTCGATTAATAATGAGCGCACGAAAAAAGGCTCGTTCATCGTTTCGTTCCGAAGGAACTATGGGAGGTGTTACTTAAAACGAGTTTGGTCGTTGTATTTATTTATCGTAACTTCTCAATTTAAGTCTCGAGATGCGATCGTCATAAAATCAAGCTTCATTTCCTCGAATTTACCAAGTATCCGCGACGATTCTCTTTTTTGTTTCTTTATGCGAAACTATTTCGTATAGAAACGGATACTTGTCGTGTCTGGACTGGTTCCACGATTTGTAACAATAAAACTTGCATGAGTGGAATAACATAAGTATGTACGATGTGGTAGGAACATAGGTCGTCGAATTTTGGCAACGTATTCTATCCTTCTTACAGATGAAAAGAGTTCGCGTATGAATGTATACAAACCCGCAAAATTGAACTTCTCGAGATATATTTTTCAACGTTTCTTAGTCGTAATGAAGCCTGTAGCGACGCATATTCAAAACTTATTTTGACAAATAGAGTGCGCGGTATTAAAAGTTGGATATGCATTTTTCACTGCCTCGTATCGTATTCGTAATAGTTGAGACAAAAATCCTTTGACATTTGCTTCGCGTGCTCTGCTTTGCATGTTACGGTATGGTAGTCTAAAAAGAAGCAGGAAAATATTTAAATCAATCCTGCACACGAACTGACACGAGTTGATTTTTTGTTTTTGCATTTGTTCGTTTGTTACCGACACGTTTGATAAAAATACGATTAAAAATAATAACGACCCTGTTTTCGAGTAAAGTCTTCTCTTCGCTTTAACCATAAATTTCGCGGATGCTTCCTGTCGAGATAACAATGAATCCTGTACAAACAAATTGGGTACTCGACTAGCTATACCCGATGTTCCATCGATATACGATTCGAAAAAGCTGATATTGAATCCAAAGTTCTTTAGGATCGAGAGTAGAATCGTTGTTGATGGGCTAGGACAGTTTCGCTGTGAACAACAATGATAGTTATCGACGAAAGGGATAATAGCGCAGGAAAGTCGTATCGATATCCGATGCTGACGCTTTGGTTGTTGATTAGATCGTTAGATTACACGTGGTCGTTTGGAGCGAATCGAAGGGTGTAAGGAAGCGCAGGACTCGTGGAATGGCACGGTGGCGGTTTCCATGTTGGCGAGAGCAGGAGCAGCTTTCTAGCTGCAGCGTCGTTTAATCGGTCGCTTTCTGTTCGTGGACTCGGTTCGCTCCGAAGCGTCTGCGCGGCTCCTCGGTTCGCCTCTTCGCCCACACGCCACGCGAATCCCCACGAGATCGCGAATTTAAAACTCGACAGTGGCCGCAGTGTCGAATCTGCGAGCAACCACGCTCGCCTCGGACCGAGCCTCCTTATAAACCTTTCTCTCGACTCGTTTCCTTCGCCAGTTCGAGGCTGTCCGCGCTCTTGTACTTTTCGCGAGCTTTATATCGCTATTTCTATGCAGTCTTTGTCGAGGAAACCTGCAAGTGAACGTCGAGGAAATCTGCGAGCACTGAAGGATCTTTGGAAGAAGAATCGACAAACCGTTCCATGAATCTCTTCGATCGTGCAAATCGAGTGCAAACCTCCTTTTTTTTACATTTTTACGTAGTAGACTTCGGACTCGATCCGAGCGAGATATTCTAGTGACTTTCTTTGCCAGCTGTTTTAGCTCGGTAGCTTAGTACCTTTGTTACGGGCATCGCGAAGATATGATCAAGTTGGAATAGTTACATAGGACGCAGCCGGGAAGAGGAATCAACAAAGGGTTCAGTGAACCTCCGTGCATTGCCAGTGCAGTGCAAACTTCCTTTGTTTCCTGCTATTATACCATGACACAGTTGAAACGACGACGCTGAAAACGTGGCTGTAAAAAAACAAGCCCGATACACGTCGAAGAAAAGCTTCGTTCGCTATCGCGGTTAGTGGGTACGCGGGTTGTACTTTTAAGTTATCCTAGAAGCAGCTTTTCTCGTCGTTTTACCGCGAGAAGTGTCTCCGTAATGGATATCGTAAGGGCATAATTGAGCCCCACTACTCGTTCTGCTTGAAAGAACAATCAACGCACAAGCACCTTTGTGCTCTTCCACTAAAGCGTAAACTTTCTTTGTGTTTCTCCGTGACATTGTGAAGAGCTTCCGCAAAACATGGCTTACGAAAAAGTGCATAATAGACTTTGCAGAATGCAAACTTGACATCCGTCGATGGAAGTCTCCATTCATCTCGACAATTAATCGATATCCGAGGTGTACAGAGTCTCGGCTCGTTCTTACGAGAATCTAGCCACATTGTTGCGAGAACAGCATGGGCACCGTGAGACACGAGCGAGCTACAACAGTTCTCCAGAAATCTGCTTGGAAGGGGAATTAACACGCGGTTCCACGGCACACTCTAGGCTTCCGACCAAGCGAAACTTTCTTTGTCTCTTTCCATAACGCCGGAGGAAGAAGAGTCATTGTTCCAGGACATGACGCGGAAGAGGAATTAACACGCGGCTTCACGATTCTTTGTGCGCGTCGCGAAAAGCAAACCTTTTCCAGCTTTCTCGATATCAAGCTACTTCACCGATACGATGCTGTTTTTGCAACCGCGTAAAACACCCGACAGAATTTCCAGAAACTACGGTAAACGCCTGTCGAAAGACGACTGCAATGTTTTCTTTGTTTCATCGATATTTCTTGCGCGTCGACTCTCCGCTTGTTCTCGCAATATTATCTTTAAAAATTATCTTCATCGCGAACGTTACGGAAACGTGATCGAATTCCGTTCGACTCTCCAGTAATTTTCCAAGAAGAATCAGCGCACAGTTCGACGAGTTGCCGAGCCTGTCCAATTAAATGTGACCGTATAAAATACGCGGTACATGCAACTCGTAAATACTCGACAGGCTATCTTGACATCTGTCAACTCGAAACTCGGTTCACCTAACTCGATTAATTAATATTCACGGTGGAACACTTTCGGATGGATTCTAAATGGAGTTTTTACACGGCATCTCGATTATGGATACCGGGGTACAAGATAAACATGTTCCTCGCGCAATGTAGGAAGATGAATCAGCACGAGAGTGCCAACAAAGTTTGCGGCGAAACTTTTCCCGTTGCAAACACCGAAGGAGAACCAACAAATTGTTCCAGAAATCGTCTCCGAAGAAAAATTTTTGGGAATCTACGCTCCACGAATCTGTGTACACGTTCCACCTTGAAAAACATCAGAAACACGTGACACGAAATAGCGAAGGTTTTTATCGCGTATGTCTCGAGGGTAGTACGAGCGTCATGGTCGAGTCACGCTTCATAGAAAGAGTCCGCAAAGTCAGCGGTATTCAGAATTTCGTAAAAATGTATAAAAAAACAAACACGTTGGCCAGTCGTGAAATCCCGACTCGTCTTTTTGCTCGATCGAAATTTGCGGTCGTTAGAAAACCGCAGGATGAAATAATAGGTTGGGCACCATAGATCGAGCCCTGCAACCCCGACAATCGTTTCGGCGGGTCAGCAAAGTTTGCAGTCAATTTTCCTTTCTCGTATCGCCTGTTGGGGGCGTGAAAAGAAGTTCAGGATGTACTACCTCGCCGGGCGATTTCCTCCGAAGAAGAATGGACACAGCAGATGAGTATCTCTTCGATAAATCGCATATCTCTAGGATGAAATTATCGCTTATGCGCGTTCATGCATGACATGCACTTTAACCGTTTTTCCTTCACACGAAAGTAAGATATCGAGAAATCGTCGTAAGATGTTCGCAAGAAACATCGGGAACCACGAAAGTAGCGGTCAGAACGTACGAAGAATTTGGTATAGAACGGAACTGAAACCGCGAGGAAGAGTATTCTCGAAGGGAAAATAGAAATGGGAATGTAAGGGACGATAGAGAACAAAAACGGCCCGTAGTATATAGCCTTATTGGCACGAAGCCGACAAATATCTCGTATCGTCTCGAGAGCGTTAAGTGTAACAGCGCTGTTCTGTCCTCTGTAAGCTTTTCGCCACGAAAAGCATCGATCAACGGCCCGTAAATGTAGAAAACGTTAGCACGGATGGCCAGTTCGATGCATCTTTTTTGCTCTATCAATCTTTTTCCGAATCTTCTCTATCAATCTTTTCCTACCCGCGGCACTGTGTGGTGTGAGATATTTTGTTACACGCGATCGTATAAGCCTGGTTTTCATTCGTCATCATTTTTCCCCTCGTTTCACCGTGATTGGATTACAGTATCGCCTCTCTAAATGGCAGGACGTCATTCCCGCCGCTACCAGGACTCCTCGCTCGTGGCACGCGACGAAATCGTCCGAGTTCAAGTTTGAACGGTGGTTCGAAAATTTTCTTGCGCACGATAATACAACGGCAGTCTATCGCACCGTGCGTAAATCCATTAAAATGCCTGCCAGACAATTTGGCTCTTCTCTCTGCAAATAATAGACAACGTAGTTGTATCCGGGAAAGAATAGCTTTATGGTGAAACGATCTCCTCGGGCATACTTTGGGTATTTCAACGAGAAGATATTGGACGTAGATAGGTCTTGGTATTCCGAAATTACCTATATACGCTTCATAGACCATTAATAGTGCACGAGGGCCGCTTAATGTTAAAGTCTCGATAATCCTTATCTATTTCCGCGTAGACATCTCTCTCGAGCAAATGATCGCGCCGCGATTAATAAAGCTTCATTCGCAGTACGACGCGCGTTCTCTAGCTACTTAAGAGCACCTCCGTTCCTCCGGGTATTCGCGTCGCCTTCGCTCCGGCGAACACTTTACAACTTTTCTAATGAAGGATTATTCGTGACGTTACTCGGCGAAGACGAGAAAGGGGATGCAGAATGTTGCTGTCAGAAATTGCGAGCCATACGGAAATTATCCATGCGACACTCTATTCATATGGATAATCCATTCATGAATCAAACCCTCGGAAGATCGTATTTTAGTTACGCTGGAACAGGACGCGTTCTTCGCCGTTAATATTCTCGTTTGTTTCAATCGTTTTAACGTTTCAACGCTTTGGTGGCTGTACGTTTCAGTCGAATCTTTACTCGCTTTCGTGATCTCTCTCTAATCTTCTACGTAATTTTAATCCGTTCAACTTCTTTGACATCGTTAATTACGTTGCGATATCGTTATCCGACCAGGTCTCAGGTATTGGCATCTATTTCGTGCTTTATTTATTTAGATATTACGAGCAAATACTTAGCCGCGTATCTTTCTATTTTCTCAAATAAGAAACTTTCGGCTTATCCAGGATTAAAGTATCCACTTTTCGTTTCAAATTTCCGTAAAAGAGAAACACGTTCGAGATTCGAAACCTTAGGGTATATCGCTAGAGTTAGAACTGTGCGCCATTTACAGAGGTAAAATGCTGTAACTAATTACTTCCACGTTTTTCCGCTTTACTATGCGATGTTATCCGAGCACAATCCTTTATACCTTGCCTCCTTGTCTTTCGCACCAACTGGAAGAATATAATTGTTTCTTTCGCCGTTGCTGTTCTCGATTCATTATTCTCCTCTGCTACTCACAGGCCTGAACTGTTCTTAAATCGTACACACGGTCAGACAAAGAACTGGCTTTCTGATTCTTTACGCTTCTTCTGCCATAGTAGATGACGAAATCCCTGTTGGTGAAACACAAACGACGCATCATTCTCCTTTTTCGTTCGCGCAGGATGCGTCAGTTCAGCTCCGGACCTTGTCGCCGGGACGACGCCGCTCTTGTTCTGACCAAAGGTAACATTATCGGATCTTTATCGATTTTTCAATGGAGCTGCGAGTGCGAGAAAAGCGTACACTCGAAAGGTTTACTTTCTCTTATTCGAACGACATGCTCCAGGATAATTGAGAAAACTTGTATACACGCGAAATTATTCGTACGCGTTCTTAAGTCTGGAACAGTCATAATCGTTTTGATCGCTATCCAAATCCGAGAGCCGTGTACGATGGTGCACTGATTTAAATATAGATAGCTACTCGAATTTGCAAACGAGGATTTTCGTACAGCGAAAAAAGAGTACGAACGAACGTAAAACAAAACTGATTGAAATCGATCCTTTGCATTTAAGACTATAAATTTTCAGCTTGTATTTTTAACGTAAAAATTTGCGGAAATTCTCGCTGGTTGCTGAAATGTTATTTCAGAGAAATATTACGAAAACGGGATTTTTCATTTTTATTCTTTGCCAGGCTTAAAATTGAAGCATGGCAAAAAATTGTTCTTTTTTAGTAAATTATTGAATGACGTATTACAAGTCGAATTTGGTTAAGTATTTCACTTGCATTAATAAATAATGTAAATTAATAATAACTGATAGAAAGTATTCTTTACGCTGTCCAAACGTAATTTAAATTCCAGGTTAAATCAGAGAAACGGTTATATTGGGAAAGTTCTCTTAAAGTTTCGTGAAATCGTAGCAGTTATGTTTAATATTTGATTAGGAACCATTTCCGTCTTCATTTCGAAAATCTCTCCAAACTGTTGGTAAATTTAAATTAGAGTACTATCTGAACCGTTGGCGTGGAAAGTGATTCATGCGTTTGCTTTGAAAATTCCTTCAAACTTTCATCAAATTTAAACTGGAACGTTGAATGTTTGATCGGAAACAGTTTGCACGCGAATTTGCGTAGGAAGTATTGTTGAATTCTTGACGAATCTTCGTTGAACCATCTGAGCCGTTCGCTTGGAAAACAATTTGCCCGTTTCCTCGAGTTTCTTTAGACTTTTGAAAATTTCATTTTTCCGCGTTCGCTTTGTAAATTTTTCCGTGTTTTCTCGAAACGCGAGACAAGTTGTCTCATTCGTCAGAGTGAAAAATAATTTATTCTTTGAAGAATTTAGAAAGCATAGTCCACGATTTTTTTACACTTTATAAAACATTTTGCTTTCGTGCAAAGAATTCCGAAAATTTGCTTCAGTTCAAGTTCGACAATTAATTCGAAACGAAAATGTCGAAACTTTTGTAGGCCTCCAAGCAAGTATTCGCAGCAGAGATGCGTGGCGATTCGACTCGGTCACAGAGGCGACGAACTGTTGGGCAAGACTTGTCTCGAACGATTACGTTAGGAACACCGACTCTCCTCCTCTCCTAGTCCGCATATTTACCGTGTCGTGGGTTTACGATGACGAGAACATAATTGCTTTCCGACGAAACGAACTTGGCGTTTCCCTAAAGTTCACCGAGTGAAGCGAATTTCTCGGTTCGTTAACACTTTTCGTGAATCACCTCCAAAGTATACGGACATTCCTCTTTTATGTCCTTTTACGGCCGATCTTCGTGGCAGAATTCCAGCGAGCAAACACCGACAAGAAAAATAAACCAATATACTTTGCGCGGATCCGCATCTTTAAACGCTAAAGGAAGCAACGTAACAAAGAGGCGAAGAAAAAGATACGAGATTAACGAGAGAAATCGAGTGGTAATGATGGACCGAGAAGTAGGGGTAGTCGCAGTTTAACCCGAGGGTGTCGATGAAGAGGTCGGCGAGAAAGCTGAATGAGAAAGGTAAATATCATCTAAAGCGGCTATAAAAGCGAACGGCGAAGGAAGTTAGCGGAAAAGAAACGGACTTTAAATCAATAGAAGATCGAGAAATATTTTATTGCTGACGCGCTCATCTTTCTGCCGTAAACAACGCGATAAAAATTGATCGGCGCGCGATTTTCCGTTCTTAGAACAAAAAACTATTTTTCTCGTTCGCATCCGTCGAATTTCGCGCTATTCCAACGAGCGAACATCCGGCTTAAAACTGTTCGTTCGCAGCCCGAATATAACATAATCCTTCGATTTTATTTAAAAATAATGCTCATCCAAATAAAATGGTAATGTAGCGGAATTTACACGTAACTGGTATTAGTTCTGTATAGTAGAATTCCGATAATCCAGCATACTCCGAATTCCAGTGCCGCCGGATTATCGATATGCCGGATTATTGAACTATACATATAATGCAGCAAAAACGAAAGAAACGGTTTCGAAAGGGGTCATGGTTGATACAGTAATAGCACGGTAAGTGCGACCCGTTTTAATAATTGATCCAGCGCTGGAAAACTCTTGAAAATCTGATATCGCGAAGCTCCAAAATTAGGACGCCGAGAGGAAGGACAGGCGAGCCAATTTCCGTCAGACAATGAATATTGTGATTGTAAAGTATAACCACGCGCGATTCGAGCTCGTCCGATTAAAAGAAAGTGCATGGAAAGGAATACTAACGATAGCATCTCGAAAACAGTAATCGAGACACGTACGACGATCATTTAAGCGACGAAATATGCGTTCAAAATAGTTTCGATATATTTTAACTCCGCTCTTTTTGTTACGTCGCGATACGGATGGCCAGTTTTGGAAAAAAATTCATCGATTCGCATCCACGCGGAACATATCTTCGGCAAATATTCGCGCAATTTCCAACGAGGGTATCGGAATTCGAACGGTTTTAATTTACTTCTTTGTTTATATTCAGTTTTACCGTTGGATACGTTATGGTCTTTTGTAATCGAAACTCTCGGTACATACGGCTATTTTGAAACGTACAATTTAGTTGAATGAAACGTTGCGTCAACCTTTATTCGTTGAACGTTACATATCGAGAGTTATTAATTAATAACGTCGGCGGATGACGGGAAAATTCCTCGTGGTGATCGAACATTATTGATTTCTGGTGTTCGCTGCTTCGAACATTAATTGATAGATCGTGCTCGAAATATTAGCTGCAACCAGCTTTTGGCTGATAACGTCGCTACGATGAATATGCACCCAGTGAATATTCTGTTTCCTACACGGAAACCTGATATAAACGTTTATCGCGTAACTGGAATTTTTACCAATTTTATTCCATTCATGGGAAAAGCGTGTACGATCAACTTTTCCTTAAAATTTAATTACGAACAAGTGACGTAACTAAAATGATTTTTCATTTTAAATCCTCGTAAGAATGAAATACTGCAGCCATTGTGAAAACTGTTTGTCGGTTATACGAGATTGCACGGATTTATACCGCCGTAAAAGCTTGCTTTTTAATTTACTTGAAACACTAGCTTCGCGTATACGTCATTCAGCTTCCACAAGTTTCTTTGTCCACTTTTTATTTGAATTATTAATTCGTACGAGTTCTGGCTGCCATCGGTGGAATACCGTATTCAGAATATTGTTTAAATTATTCCACGAAACGGGTCGAGCGATGTATTTCGAAACATGTTTCTGAAAATCTGCATTTTACCAGAATAATTCCTTTTGTTCCTGCTGCGAGACGTGAAATTAATTTCCCTATCGGTAGCCGCTGTTCCGTTCTCTGTAGCTCGCGATCGTCGATAATTAAATTATAATTAACGCACCCGGAAGAACATTATTACAAAATTTCGGAATGATTGATGCTTCGCGTGGATTCTCGGAAGCGCTTCAGACGTCCGACAGAATTCCCATTCGATTCAATTTCCGAGAATCGAAACGATCGAAACTACTAGGAGGATTACTTTTAAATGAAATTTCGTCCGTCGTCTTATCATAAACCATAGCGTCATACCGGATAATTGAGTGCAACCTCAGACGCAGCCAGGTTATTCCCTCGGGGCAAAATTCATTTTAAGCTAAACTTCGTCGAACCTCGTTCCTCGGTTTTTACATCTATTTTCACCTACAAAATATCTATTAATATAATTGGAATTCAATTATCTCCTCTGTAACAAAAAAATTCTATCGTGCTTCCGCGTAGCCAATCTTGCAACAATTCGAAATTGAGCAACAGACGGCTCGCTTTGAAAATTTCGACTATTCAAAATTGCTGGTGCATGTTACGAAACATTTCATTCTCAAATTACCCTTCTATAGAAACGGACGGTCGGGTGAAAGACTACCGACCAAAGTGTCCGACACGCGATACCAATCATCAAAATGCTTGTAAAAAATAAAAGAGCAACGTTACCGATTATCGAAGCAATTACGATAACGAACGAACTTCTCGTTTTTATTCGGTCGATCGAATTCGTTGAGGTCATTAAAAGTTACGAACCCGATACGATTTCGTTTCCGGAAGAAACGTGGAGGTCGTTTAGATCCGGTGAAATCGGATACAACGTGTTGGTAAGGTACGTTGCTATTCCCGTTCCATACGCGGACAGGCTGTTATATTTGCACCTGTACAACTTGTCATTTTTAGTAGCTGGAAAAATAACCGGAGAATTGCTGAGCTGTCAGAGTTTAACGCCTAAAACGAATAAGGGTAGATACAAGAGAAATGAATATTTATACATATACGCGAGCTTTCTGCAACCCTGAAGGAGAAATATTAATGCGTTGGATGCCGTTGAAGTCGCTGGAGATTCGCCTACAAGTTTAATACGCTCGGATAACTGAAAAATTCTACCGATAAAAACTCGCCATTTCTTCGAGCGATCTTTCTCTAGAATGCGGAGTCTCGACAGGGGGGAATTATCGAGTGACTGCGGTAACGCGTTCAAAGTTTAACCCCTTGCCGTGCCATTTATTTATGAGGTGCGTCAGTCAAGACTAACCATTCAGGACTGTAACATTAAAACGAACAAAGAAAATTAAAATGTTCTAAGTATTTTATGTTCAGGGATCCTTGACAACGCAAATTATAGTTGGATCTAAAATTCAAGTTGAAGAGTATTCAAAGTTTGAGTAACATTAATCACATTTGAGTTTTGAGTGCGTCACGAGTAAGACTCGTCAAAGCACGGGAAGGGGTTAAATCGCAGTATAAGCTGTTTTATGATACCCTTTTCGAGGATACTTACGTGATCGTTTAGTTTGTCTCTAAATTCATCAAGCATAAGTTGTTTTTCTCATATATTTGTATAATTATCACGGATTTAAAAGGAGTTAAATATAGGAGCGAGAATTATAGAGTTTGTCAAAAGCGCATCCCCTAACCGTTTACTATCTTGCAAAGTCTCGTTTAACCGACGCTCGTACACTACTGATGTGCATGCAGCGTGGCGCCGAACCGACTGACATGTTTTAAAATTGAATTGGCTCGACCGTTGATGTCGTAAAGTAGTCGTTGGAGCTGGTAATGGAAGGTGGGAAGAGGAGATGACGCATCGTTACCATCGTTGTTCACGTTTTACTGCAAAATAAACTATGACTGAAACGCAGCGCCTATTTAGACGTCGTTCCGACGTAGATGGGCGAAGTCAGATTTCGTCCGAAAATACGATATCAACATCGGCGAGTAAATTCGAGAAAAGAGGTAGTACGTTAAACTTGAAATATGGTCAGACCCGATGGCAAATGAGAGAAGCTCCGAATGCGGAACACCAAAGATGCATTGACTCGAACAGGGATCACCCTTCCGATGGAATTTCCTGCAAACGTGTTTGCGGCTAGTTTACGTGAATCGCATAAAGGCTGGCAAGGGAATCTGTTTACTATGGCTCTGAATGATTGAACGAACGGCCATTAAAGTATTAAGCTTCGTATACTGTTGCACCGAAGTTTATCGATAATTATCTTCGTTACTTAGCGGCCACTTTTCCTGTCGTTTGTACTAGTACGATAATCGACGATTTCCACAAATCCGCTACTCCGTTTCTTTCCCTCGATTGCGAACGGAGCAACATGACCATCGTACAGTTCAAATGGTCGATGCAACGATCTACAACCATCTGCGGTTACGAGACACGACACTTTATACCACCTTTGCTACCACCACCTGTCATTGTAATATGTTCTCCCCAGGCCGCGTTATCGGCAGATAGATCTTGTCGATGAATCGTTGCAAGCACCTTGTGTTCCTCTGAAAATCCACGGTCGTACGTTAAATTGTCGAGAGCAGAAAATAAAGTGTGAATTTTTACCCGACTTCTCTTGTATCTCATCCCTTGAGTACTTTAATCGATTGACAGACTGCGGTTGCGCACGATAGATTTATAAAGAACCCTCTTTCTTTCCGCAGTAAGTACTACTTATTCGCGAATAAAAGCGTAGTTCACGCAAATTTAACAGTGTTATATGAAAGAGTTCGAATGACTCGAAAAGAGCATTGAAAAGCGATTTGTCTCTACGAACAAAGTTTAAATAATTGCATGTTTTCCCGCGTAAATGCGTTTCGGTAATAAGCGACGTATACACAAAAAGGGGTGCAGGTGCGTACGTGCTGCACATAATGAGTCGAAATGACGCTGCGTTCTCCGTGTAAGGTTTAATCACCAATTACTCGAAACTACAAGGAATGTACCTACCGAAACTGTGCGAAGCGAGTTTGAAAATTGGTACTAAAACAAAACTACAACGCTTATGCCAAAGTATTGTACACTCAAGAGCAAATGCTTCCCTAAGAATAATATAGCAATCGAGAGAAAGCGGACTCGTTGATTTTTGAGAATGAAAAATTTTGGAAATTTTAGAAATGAAAAATTTGGTAATTTTAGAAATGAAAAATTTGGTAATTTTGAAGATTTGGAAATATGAATGTTAATGAATTTAGAAGTCGAGAAGCTTTCTTTGATCGGAGTCTCCGTTGCGCTCGAGTGTACTGACGATAATGCAGCGATGTAAGAGGACGTCTATGAACGTTGTTTCCAGTAAAATGAAAGCAGAAGAAGGATTGATCGCCGGGAGGCGTGTATGGAGAGCGATCGAGGAATACACGCGGACATTTTCCCTGATAGTTTAGCTCGAAAGGTTGCTATTGAAATTGCTATATAAATTAATACACCCGTTCCCCCCGCAAGCAGATGGCGGACTCCATTGTCCGATCGCGAGTTCTTTCAGCTCCAGTCGCGTGTTCATACGTATTATTTACAGATAACCCTTCCTAATTTGCAGTTAATTTTAGAGAACGTATATAGATATCTATATCGTTCGAAAATATGGGACGAATTGAATGGAATCCTGAAAAGAGTAATATGAATAGCAATCGAGCAGCACGCACGTACTTCAGTTAGAAAGCTTTTAGTCGAAATTGCTATACGCATTTCTGCTACTAGAAGACTCCATTGTGCGCTTGAACATCCTCCTCTTGAGCACAATGATAAATTCCGCGCGTAACGAAGCAGATACACGGAAATAAAACCATTTATCTAGCAGGCAACTTGGCTAAACTTTTAATCGTTCACGCAATGTTAAAAGGATTTCCCATTTGTTATGTTAAGAGATTAAATTTTCTTCTCCCTACGTTGCTCTCTACTTGTCTCTACGAACATCGTACATATATGTGGACAAGTGCTTACATTTAACGTAAAAAGAGATACTTAGCGCGCTATAGTGATCATTTATCAGAATCGTCCTCTTTCAGAAATGTTGTACAAACACACGACTATCCTCCGAAGAACAGTGTACACCGGGGTTTATAAACCACGCTTGTGCTTAAAGGGTTAAATTGGACTGATTTACGAGTAGCTGTAGTTGTCCCTCGAGAACCAGAGGTGGGCAACCCTTTCAGAGTCACATGATAAATTGTAAGCCAAATAAACTAAGGCGGTGTCAAGCGCTGCTTTAAACAGTCGACACATCGTGTTCCTATGCTTTCAATTTGCGATATGTGAAAGACTTTCATTCAGACCGTACCTTCAAATGGTACAAATGGTTTATTGATCTAAAACTTGCCAGAGCTAATTACGGCAAATTGCAGTTTCGGCAATTAGCTCGTTCTTGAGTAGCGGTTTGCTAATTAATCGTGTAATTAACGCTTCGATCGAATTCGAAGTCGTCACATTCTGGAAATGTTTGGTAATAAGGGAAGCGTCGTGTCCAATTGTGCCGCTGTGTTTTGAAATCTATACGACAATGTTAATTTTGGCACAGATTTCCAAAGCGCGCGATAATTTCTATCTAGCTGGTTAGATCGCCCGTTCTGAAATATGCGCTGGTACCTATCTCACCGGTTCGGTTACCCATACCGAAATATCCGTAAATTTGGTTAGATTTTAATTACTTCGAGTTGACTTTAGGTTAAATTTGGGAAATATACGTTGGCGACTATCTCGTTAATTATCGAAACGTGCACCGTGTAGTTCGTAAACGTGCTATGAGACACCTCCGTCTAATCGGTTCGAACGTTCACACCGAAATGTCCGCAAATTTAATTAGATTTTCGCTATTTTGAGTTTAGTTCACGTTAGATTTACCGAGTATACCAAAATTTCTACCTCGCCGCGGCGGTCTGACGACTCGCACCGAAATATACGAAAGTTTAGTTACGTTCGGAGGTGACTGCCGCAATGGTAAAGCAAATACAGAAAGTTGAAACGCGCATACGTCTTTGCGTTTACGGGTTTGCTGCTAAAGGAAACGCGAAAAACAGCCGAACGAAGGAGGCGGAATTCTAGTCGGAATTAGAGCTCAAGATAAATAATTTAATATAGAAAGCCACGAAACGTCCGTAGCGAAGGGATTAACGACCCTGAATCTCGTAAACTGCAATTAGAACCGAACTCGAGATTTCTCAGTGTTATGAATATAATAAATTTCTCACATTTGTACCGTAAATTTGCATCGCAAATCCGATTGCCCGTTGCGATACGCGAGATTAAAGAACGTTTAGACAGTTTGTCTTTTCTTGATCACTCTTTCTCCGAGCCTGAATTATTCGCAAGGTGTTTCGTCGATAAATCAGGTGGATCGATGGCTGGAAAGTTATTCGATATCACTTAGCAAAGTCGTAAACATTGGCGAAAAAGAAGGGGTCGTAGAGGGTTGGTTGTCTCGTGATTGGCGACACCTGGAAAGTCGAGCAAGCGATACAAACAGGGGTACACCGTTGAGAATCGATCGTTGCAGCGGAAAAGGAAACGTCAAACGCGGCAGGTGACTCAGTGGGTGACTCATGCATAATTTATTTTCACTTTATTATAGCGATCGCGTGCAGAAAAAGCAACGCTTTCCATAACTGTCACGACAGGCTTCGTTATGCTAATGATATCTGAAAATTGCAAATGAATTCGTTGGCCATTATCTCGTTCCGGAGTAAAATAACTTGCCCATGCTAAAACGTGAAACAGATGTGCCCGGCTATGTGCTAAATTTTCAAATGTTATACCTGCTATCAAAATACTGCTCCTGGAACAAGTTCAACGTAAATATCGTTTGTGGACTTCTGCGAATTAATTGTTCCGGATCCCTGTACCATTCTTCCCTGATAGAGAGACCATAAATTACCGGACAGACATAAGCCGACAGAAATTAGTTGGAACAGCGGTTACGTCTTGCAAAAGAACTTCTCTTTACTGCAAATATGTTCCGCTTCTTTCCGAACCAGTTAAGAACCATTGTTTCGTTTCCCTGTAATACTTCATGAACAAACATTCTTAAACAACGAATTCTGTACTCGTTTCAATTATTCTGACTTTTTTATTCAATATCATTTCGATCTCGATGTCGATGTCTAATATATTTGTCCTGAAACAATTTTCTGTATCGAAAAAAATAGCGAAAACATTAAGAAATCCACGACACACGAGCCACTTTGTACTATACTTAACCCCTTCCCGTGCCATTTATTTAACAGATGCGTCAAGACTAACTATTCAGGGCTATAACGTTAAAACGAATAAAGAAAATTAAAATGCTGTGAGTATTTTATATTCAGGGATCCTTGATAATGCAACTTATAGTTGGACCTAAATTTCAAGTTGAAGAATGTTCAAAGTTTGAGTAAGGTGTGTCACGTTTGAGCTGTAAGTGCATCACTGTTAAGACTCGTCAAAGTACGGGAAGGGGTTAAGAGTGTATCGTGGCGATAAAAAATAAATCACTATCTGACCGAAGCTCTCTCCGTAAAAGGTTAATCACCTCGACGGGGCGTGAATGTTTCGTAAAGCCGAAGACGGGCGTTTCGTAAAGCCGGAGCCGGGTCAGGAATAAAGACGATGAACTTGTGTTTGCAGTTTCGACGAAACGTCGATGGAAAGCTGCCCACTGGCGTCGATCGGGGATGGTAGAGGGAACGATTTATCAAAAGATGGCAGCGACGTGGAGGTGACGTCCCTGGAGGAGGCAAAATCGGTGATAGCAGCGTTGCGAGCGAGGCAAAGGGCACAAGCGCATCAAATGCTCGCCTGGCGGAGGACTCTGAAGTTGCAGGTAAACTTCCTTCCTCTTTATTCGTCCGTTAAAACGAGGATAAAAGACGCGTTCGTAATTATCTTCTACGTTGGCGTCTTGTCTGCTCGTTGGTTAAAGCCATTATCCGGTAAAAGTTTGAAGAGGTATCGGTACCCGCTTCCGGGGAAGACTAGACGTCTCGTGACGGTTCGCTATTTCGCTTCCGACGTCGCGTGACTACGAACAATCTATTCGATGTTCTTTGCGAAAAAAACCTCTTGAAAATTCAACGATCGTCCGTGAATAATCGACGACCATCTAGATAGCTGCGATTACGTGGAACGGCGAAGATAAACGAGTTCGATATTTATGGAGTACGGACTCTTCAGACAGATAATGAAGAATGGATGGCGAACGTATGTCGAAAAATCCCTCGGTACAGTGTTAACAAATATGATCGTTCGAGCGATCAATTTTAGTTACCTTCGAGTATCTTCCGCGCGCGCTTCGTTACTTATTCAGTACCTAATTAAAACTTAATTTCAGCCTTTCCTTTATCATATTTGCGGTCGGAAATTTCTAAAGATCGGCGAAACTTTTCTAATTTTTCCCAACTTCGTCAAAATAGGACGGAAGAATTAAACTGGAACCTATTATCTATAATATTTTCAAATTAGAAAGTTTTCATACTTGTGGCACAACTTTTGTAATTTTCGTTAATCGCGCAAAAATTTCTGCTTAAACTGTACGATTCCTGAAAGAAGAAGATTCGTCACTGTTCTCATTTTCAAGTTTCCGGGAAGATGACTTGTAACGCTTACGACGACTCCATTTTCGTATTCGTTTCTCTAATGCACTCGGAAGAAAAGGCTCCCGATTTGTACGCATCTACGTTCCAACTTCTGTTTTAACTTGCAATATGTAAATTGCGAAAGGGACGATACACGAATCCTAACCGTTCGTGGTGCACGAGCAAGACGCTAACGAGTTTCGTGGCTGGTGGCAAACTACCGTCAACTTTCCCTGCTTTAAAACTCGCCAAAGTAGCAAAAGTTGCTGGAAGTAAATTTGCTAGTATTTGTAGAAGTTTACCATTCCCCGGAAGGCACAAGTTAAAATGGTTACTTTGTAATTACCTGAAAACAACGTAAACGAAGGCTCCCCGTATAACTAGATCGTCGATAATCCGCGAGGTTACCGTCAGCGGACACGCGATTGCCACCTGTGAACAACAATAAAGAAATTAATAGTCGCTAACTGATAGAAAAAGCATATTATTAGCTTTGACGATTTGACAAGGTTTTTGACAAATTTTTAAACGTTGTTTTATGGAACAATGTGCAAGATTAACCGCATTAACGGATTAACCGTAAAACCGGTGTGGAGGAGACGTAGATCAGATGTGCGATAATTAGGGCCCAGATGACATCGATAAACCGGAAGCAATATTGCACACCCTGCCGTAACCGGGTGTGACGCGTTTTCGATTCGATCGTAATTTGAAATTAATTAGGAAGACCGGAGGCTATGCGCAAACCGCATTACGGTATTGTGTAGTTATTAGATACGTTTCGCTTGCGCTCCATTCGCGTCACTCCAATTTCGTACAATTGACTTTTGTAACATTGACGATACACGCTTTACACAATTATCGATCTTCAATTCCACGAGTTAAATTTACAGTTTCCTTACCAATTATCGTATAATTATCGCGTCGTATACTCGAGTAAGCCTCGAATGAACCAGCATTCTCCAGGCAAGAGATAATCGGCAATTCTGGACAGATTAACACATGCATTATACGTCGAACTCGCTGAGCGGATAATTTGATTATTCCAGGAGGACCTGGTGGCACGGTTGACGAGGGAAAAGGCCGAGCAACTGCGAACGCTGTCCTCGCAGTTGCTCCTGTTCGAATCGAGGCTTTGTCGGAAGCAGAAGGAGATCGAGGCTAGTCTGGCTCAACGGGAATCCATTATTCTCAGACAACAGAGGGTGATTCGACAACTGCAAAGCAGATTGGCTGAAAGAAGCACCGGGACACGGGATTCGCCACCATGTGACCCTCTCGATAGATTGGACAGTCTGGGTGACAGTGACAGTGCCGTTGTCCTTGAAGAAGCTGCCGATGACCTCGCACCACCTAGGTATACTCCATAACGAATCTGCCTTCCCTGCTAAAAATATTGCGACATAGGAAGTTGGAAATGTAGGAGAATCAATTTGGAAATCTAAAAATTTAGGGACTTAAAAATTCTTCAAAATTGGAGAAAATTAACACGTGTGTCGTTTACCCGAGAGTGCGCGCGTTGTTCGAATAAATGAATCATTGGAATTGACATATTTATACGTACGTCGATAGTCGATACATAATTGACACGCGATAGAATTAACGTGAACTGACACGTTGACTGATGTTGCGCTTACCGGTGCTGCTATAGTATTAAAGTGATCGTATGTAATGCATTAGATCGATTAAAATCTAATGAAAATAGATTTCCCCATAGAAAATAAATATTACAGCGAGTCACTCGAATGATGTAAAAAAATAGCATTTTGAACGCGAATACTTTGTTTTCAGATTTCGTTCGAATATCACCGACGTGACGGTGATTCGTTCAGTATCGGACGCTGTTGAGCCGTCGAGTAAATATTCGTCGATGCGACGGTGCAACGGATTCCTCAGGAGACCGGAAATCCTAGAGACCGTTTACTCGGTTGAAGAGGATGCCGACAGCGAAAACAATCAGGATCCGTCCGAGTCCACGGAAAACTCTGAATGCGAGGAACGACGGACAAAGAATTTGGGGAATGGCAAAGGCAGGCTTCAGGATCTCTATGGTAGCTTCGAGAGACTCGCGCAAGAAGCGGATTCCCCGCCCAGCGAAAGACCCAGGGACGAAAGTCAACAGGCGCAGGTGAAGAACTTTTTCGTTCTCGTTTCATCGATTAAATTATAAAATCGAACGTATGGAAAGAAAAATTGTACCGGATCGTTTCAAAAGTATTCCTGTATTTCGTTAATATTCATTTTTTCGATTCAATTTGTTCCTTGACGCTGAACTTGGCACTGATACAAATTGTAATGCTTTTTAAGCGAGAGAACGAAATACAAATTTTTATTCACCATCATTTTCAGGTCACGTACAACAGGGTAATGAGCAATCACAGGTCAGTGACGAAACCAAAAGACGTGAAGTACAAGAGGATAAACAAAGCGAAGTCGAAAAGTCTGGAAGAGTTGAGGGGACGTCTGAGAAACTGGGTCGAGAAGGGAAACAAAATCGCTATATCGTTGGATCAGTCTTACGCCTGAATCTGTACCTTCTGAAAGTATATAATGAATCGTTTAAAGCGGCGATCACAATCGAGAACGCAACGTCCCGTGCGATCGCGAGGGATAATTTTTGGAAATTAACTCGTCGTATGGTCGCCGGGGTATATTTTATTGAAATTCTCATCGCTCCATGTGATATTTACTGTAGTGTTTCGAGAATTAATTAGAAAATATTCCGCATTGCGGAAGAAGTTGCGCGTGGACGATTTTCAACGTTTGTGATATATGCAGGATTCTGAAGAAAAAGGGTTCAGAACTTACAGGGTACTCGCTGAATCGAGGGAATAATCTTTAGCGAGCTCTTTTGGAGTCATGGTGGATGTTTGATTTTAGTCGAAGATTACTCGCTTCGCTTTCAGAAACTATGAAAAGGTGGTCTTATCGCGATCATTAATTTCTACTCTCTTTTCATTTTCGTCGCGTAATCAGAGACATTCGTTAAATGTAAGAGAATCTGTTGTATATGCTTCCCACGAAAGAAACCAAAGACAAAGATACGAAGAGTTAACTCTTTGAAGCGTCAACCTAAATGTCCTAACAAGTTTTCGAATCCTTTCCCGTACGAGTAATAAACTTTCATCGGAATTAAATAAAATATAATATAATAAATGTCACAAATTTTTCTCTTAATATTAAGGAATCCTTTCTTAGTTTTCGATATGATACCTCTATACTTCGGAGCATTTATTGACATTGTACTTTTAAATACAACGCTTATGAATATGTAAGTCAGAGTATGGTAACATAAACTGAATAAACTCTGCATGGCTTATCGACTTTGTTCGTGCACGGTTTATTAAAAAGTTTTCTCGCGAAATAACGAGTGCTACCTGCGAGTCGGAGCCCTTTTCTTTCAAACACGCTGTATAATGATTTTACTGTAATACGACCACGTTATTCTAGTGATAATTACTGTCGCGATTGAAACGATAAGGGAGTAAAGAGAAAGCGCGAGATAATCAATGAATAACAAATCGTGGACTGCAACAATTTTCGCGAGATTTTCTTCTCTTCCTCGTTTTCTCTTGAGCCTAACTTCTGTTATCACGAATCGCGTTGCCAAATTGTATGACGTATAATCTGCGTACTCACACGATGTACCCTGTTCTTCCACGATTCAAATTTTCTTTCCGACCAGATAACGCAGTGCTATTCGAAAAGAATGTTTGTACTTTAAATACATACAACTTAGAAATTGTACTAAATCACAATTTTCTATCTGTCCTGTACAAAACATTCTTGGAATCAATACATAATATCTAGAAAGAAAATCTTGACTTATACACTGTCGAGTATTGAACGAAAAAAATTACATGAATGATATCGAACATTCTTTTAGAATAATGCTGCGTAAGATTCACGTAATCGAGCGAACATTTCGTACCGTATTTCCGGTTTCTTCTTTGTAAATTGCGTTTCACGACGATAGAACATGCTCTATAGCGACGTTCAAATGGATTCCTTTTTTGTCAATTACGAACACTATCGGTTGATTGACGCGAAGCTTCAATCAGAAAAGCGAGACGTACGTTCAATATTTTAAAAAAGGGAAGACCAGATATCTGCGCAATCATACAGACCTGAGCTCAATTTTTTAAGCACTCTATATACAAAGCGATCGAGTACCGTTGATATATCGCTATCTGTCGCGTCGGTTTCTCCTCCGCCTATACAATTTATCTACGAGCGATAAACGTTTCCGATGCATCAAATGCGAGACTCAATGTTGTTCGAGCGTCTTACGAGAGACGCTTCTTTCCTGTAAATCGTAAGCGTTCAACCAAACGTCGCGCTTCAACGTTCAAGAAATGTGCCACCCTTCACTTTTCTATCGAGATTCCGTTATAAACTCGCTCACCGATTCGCTCGTCAGACTGACCGAACCAATTAACGTTGTTTGTAAAGTATAGCAAAATCTTGTTATAGTGCCACTGACTGTAAAACTCTTGGTATCGATCGGTTGGTTAAAAAGTTTCCTAACTCGATGCGATCCGCGTGATGATCCAACTTGCGACATTATCGATAGCGAAAAATGAGAAGAAGTAGTAAAATAGGCATTATCAACGATAAGACATTATGAACAATAATGACTATAGAAATAATACCTTCCTCTTAACCAAATAACTATATTCTACTATAGCGATTGTTTCGATCAGCCTGGCGATTTAACTTCTCAATATATATATATATAAAAGTGAAAGTTTTCTAAACTGCAATCAGTTTCAAATAATCGATATCTGTACATGTGATGCGTTTACAGACTCGTATACAGCACGATTAGAATTGTTCGTTAAGACACGAGGGTCACACTCGGTAGCGTCATATTTTTCGATCGTTCTTTACGACGTACCAATAACGCGAAGTAGAGCAGCATCGTTTAATTTATTAATCGATAGGATAATTTTTGCGCCCCTGGTCTTTATAGGAACGAGAGAGAAATCCTTGCGGGTACCTGTCTTTAATTTTAAAACTACGTAGAGCGTTTCCATTTTAAATGAAGTTTCTATTTTCTAAATGTGTCTTCGAGCGGATTTTAAGAAATGAATTTTAATGATAACTATCGACAATCCTTACTTTCGAAGAGGAAAAGAAATATATATATATATTATATATACTATTAGAAAAGAAAAGTCTATGGACAATTCTTTTTCTTTTATTTGTAAATAAAACGATAATATACGTATGTAATATTTTATTGTTAAGATTCCTCGGAATTCAAACAAGATTATCATGTAGATAGTCGCGTTACGCGAGAATCGAATAAATTTTAACGATAGAGAAACGAGTTTTATGTTCCTGTAGGCTGTATAACGAACGGCCATCAACAGATCTCGTGCATAATATATTGCGCGCTTATAAATATACATAATACCTATATAAATAAAAAATCCATATAAATATATAAATATATATATAAAATATATGAAATATGATATAAAATGTATTCAAGTCTACTATCGACGAAAAGAGAATGAGAACGAGAACGATAATTGTCGAAGCTCAATCATCAAAGTATACACGTGGACAAATGCTGCAAACGGTACACGAGAGAGATTGTTATTTTAATTTATGTAAACGATGTAACGTGTATACCGTCGCTTTTTTAGAAAATTAGTAGACTGCTACCAATATTAATAATTAACGCATTATTATTTTAATTAATTATTATTAAACCTCAAATAAATTATGGTATCAAAGTATTGCGTTAATTATTGACCTTTTCTTTCGCAATTTTTGTTAAATACCACAATACCTTGTAGCTCCGAACCATTGTCATTAATTTTTTTAATATTGATAACTGTTTTAAATTTTCAGACTTCCTCCAATGTAACAGGTAGGTTTGACACGCTGAAAAAGTAATAATAAAAAGCGAGTTATTTTAGAAAGCGCATTTAACAGTGATTATCCACAATTTTTTAAATGAAACAGAACTTTAATTTTTTATAAATCATAAAATGAATATATATACGAATTAAAGTTTAAAACGCAGTAAATATTTCAGTAACATAAACATTTTTCATATTGCTTACAGCAATTTCATACCGACTGACGGTAAAGAAGTTTTTGCAATACTATTTCGTCATTGGTCCATTTCAAATTACATGAACCAATCGAACGTGCTTCGATGATCGCCGTTAAAACAAAACAATATGGTCGCTAGTGCGCACAACTGGAACCAAACCGGAATGCGTTGATAAAACTGAATCTTCAGAAAAGTGATAATTGATTTCCGTCATTGTCATGATCATTGTACTGTTCCACGTGCTTTACCTCTTCGGAAAGTTTGTATATCAGAATTATCGAATTAAAAAACAAAAAGCTATAAGCAATGAGGTGATCAACACGCAAAAACCATTAGAGATTAGCGAAAACGATTATAGGATGAGAGATCCTGAAGCACCTCAGGATTTCGAACAAAAATCTATTAAATTTTTTCCACCAGCATACGTGCAAAGATACGTTGCTGTTAGTAATGTGCTCAATAGTCCCAAGTACCAAGGGAAACTATGCAAGGTATACTGTACTAGTTTTTATTCTTTCGTAATATCTTAGGTAATGAGGTATTTACGTACATATTTCTTTGTTTACGATAGTGCATTTTGCGACAGTATACATATCTCGCATAATATTGTAGTAGCAATTGGATATTGACAATATTTTAAACAAACGATTAAATAATTTATTATTTTTATTAATATTCAATGATTTTATAAACAGCCATATATTTTCTTTTGTAGGCCGTTGATTTCGGATGCGCGGAACTTGATTTTTTAGTTTACCTAAAAAATACAACAGGCATAAAAGAGATATTATGCGTGGATACTGATAGAGTTTTGTTAGAAAGTTACAAACATAAGGGAGGCCCATTAATTTCTGAATATTTACACACGAGAACAACTCCTCTTGTGGTTGAAATATGTGAGGGTAGTGTTACTCATAATGACAAGAAACTAGAAAAGACTGATGCTGTAATTTGCATAGAATTGTGAGTTATCGTTTTATATATGAAATGGACATTCAGATATCGTTACTTTGTGGAAAGTACAAGTATTTTCGTGTTACAGGATCGAGCATTTGTATCCAGATACTCTGGAGGAGCTTCCTTATAATATCTTTGGATTTATTAAACCAAAATTAGCCATAATAACAACTCCTAATGCAGATTTTAATGTATTATTTCCAAACTTTTCTGGATTTAGGCATCCTGATCATAAATTTGAATGGACTAGACAACAGTTCCAGGATTGGTAAATAAACTCAACTTCTTTTAATTAAGGGTTGTAAGTTGTATTTGCAATGTATGATTTTTGTTGACAGGGCTGAAAATGTTATTACAAGATATCCAGATTATGTAGTAACTTTTGAAGGTATTTGCAAAGGACCAGAAGGTTCTGAAGACTTAGGATGTTGTACTCAAATGGCAATATTTCATCGACTAAGCGAAAAAGATAGTTGTAATACCGGCATTGAGGGTTTATTTGTAACTGTAGCAAAATACGAATATCCGTTTCGTGTAGACAATCGTTCTGACGAACAAAAAATTCTCGACGAGGCTGAATATTACATTAGACATTTGTCCTTTCAAGATAGCGATATGGAAGAGGAAGTACCGTTGACGAAATTATTGGACATGTTAAAATCATTTCATATTTCTATAGAATTGTTACAAGCGATTTTAGAAGAAGCTGGTTGGACGGTCACGAATCGTGAATTAGGACCGGTTGTACTTGTACCACCACATTCAACATTTTCTGACTACAGTACCGTGGGAGAATCTTTTTGGTCTAATGGCTATAATTCTAGCGATGAAAATGAGTGGAATAGAGATCCTGGACCACCTGCAAATTCTAGATTTTTAGAACCGGACCTCGGCTCAGAAATTTGGGATAATGAGAACTGGAACGACGAACCGAGTATCGTTATTCCCCAAAATAATTCTGTCATTGAAGACAATACCTATCTTTTTGACGAAGAAAACATTTTATCGAATAACATATCAGAAACAATAAGGGACATTGAAATCTCGGAAAAGTACAGTGAAACTAATAGCGAAGGAACTTTAGCTCCGGAATTCTCATGTTCGAGTACCACTGATCATACAAGCATCGACGTTCTTGATCATTCATTTCAGTGTAATTTACCATCAGATTTCAAAGAATCTGCGAGGCTTCCTGATTCTTCTTTTAATACCGACGAAAGCTCAAAGAATGATTCCTTTGTTGATTTACCGTACTCTTTAGATACGCAACAATCTACTTTGTCAGATACCACATCTAAACTTAATCGAACGTTAGATTTCTTGCCTTGCATGTCCGTTTCCCGTGCATCAACTTCGCCTGAACCATATCTTTTACAAACTGTTAAAATGGACCAACATTTGACACACGACAGTATGTGCAATCAAAGTATGAGTAATCACTGGATGCTAAACAATTCTCTTGAACAGACAAATGAATCATTGAACATTACTGCGAGTGCGAGTAATGTCGAAGACAAGAAGTTATTGCAAGAGAATAATTTTAACGATAATCTTCTACGTAATATATATGTAAATACCTCGTATAAAGAACCCGAGGATTCTGATTTCGAACTTTTAAGCAGTAAGGAAAGCGTGAGTCCAAAGTATTCTAATTCAGATCAGGTGCAAAGTGTTCAACAAGAATTACCATTGAGCAGCAACACGTCGATTAGTAGTTATACCTTGACAGAAAGTCAACCACAATTTACAAGTTCACCAAAAGTTAGTACGAAGGTGAATACTGTAGATAAGAAAAGAAGATCTTTAGACTTAAACAGGCAAACAAATAGTTCCAGCTCATTAAAAGGACTACAGCAATCTTGCTTAACTAGTCTCAGTAGCAATAACTTGTTAGAAAATAAGTGTGAAATATCTTTAGGAAGCAATAGCAAGACTAATTGTAACGAAAATAAGAAGCCTTTTCGTACACACGATATAGAAATATTGGAAGATAAAAAGGATCTAACAGATAAATGTAACGATGATACTCTGGTAAGCAGCGGTGTATCGATGTCAAACGAGAAACAAATGGCAAAGGATTTGTCGACAAGGTGTTCTTTAAGCAGTAATAACAGTGCAAATAGACATGAACTGATACAATTAGATCTTGCTAGTACTCTTAATGCAATTAAGGAACAGCCAAATTTCTGCGTTGTACAAACAGCAGAGCAAAATGAGCTTGCCATAACACATACAAGTAGCTTAGAATCAATAAATTGTGATAAACAAGTTCCAGTAACTGTTAAATCAGAACCTTGTCTGGATTTTGTCATTGACAAAAGTGAAGGTAAGACTGAGACAAAATCCGAGTTGCACGATATTTGTAATTTAAGAAGCGATAAAAATACAGATACTACTGAGTCGTATAATCATGCCAAAGAGATTAGTAGTTTAGAATGCGTACATCTTGTATCCAGTGTTCGAGTAGAGAATACACAAAATGTTCAATCCACGTCAGTATTAACAAATGAAAAACAAATTGAATCTAACATTGAGAATCATGAATTCGCGTGTAAAAGCGTAAATCCAAATGATTTAGAAACAGTAGAAACCATTGAATTGAAGAGTTCTCCAGAAACTGTGGAAACTCCTCCTAAAAGCTGGTCACCCGAAGTTATGGATTCTGGATATCCAAATTCAACTTCGGCTCCAGATATGACACCAGAGTACGATTTATCGAGCATAGCTCAAGATCACATATCAGATTCAGAGCCACCGAGTATAGCGGAAGCACCGAGGCTCGAAGCACCCGAGATAGTTGAAGTTGTAAACGGAGACCTTGTGAATAACAACAGAGATAACGAGGGTAACAACATGATCGCTGCAGAATTAAACGACTTAGAAGATTTGCAACCATTAATCGATGTACTTGAAAATGATCTTGAAAACGAGAATGATATTTATGTTCTGGAAAATGGTTTTCCCTTTTGGCTGTTAAGAATACTTAACATGGCCAACCCTATTGATGTTGAAATGCATATGCGGGATCACAGAGAAATGAGGTTTCCAAACGAAGCAGCAGGTAACTGGTTATAAAAGTTTTATAAAAATTATTGATAAATATTGTTTTAACTTATCTTTTTATCTGCAGGTGACGATGTGCGGTACATGAATATAGAACATGATGAGGGCTTCAACAGTAGTTCTGCAGAGAACAGTAATTTAGAAAACAACGAGATGGAAAATGACGGCAACAGTGATGCTAGTTATAATATTGAAAATGATAACGAAAATGTGTCAAATAGTGATAGTGGAAGTGAAGAGTGGGCTGCTGCAGGTGATTCGTGATGCCATTGAAATGATACTTACTTAAACGCGGTGTCACATATCATTCTTTACTTTGTTTACAAAATGTAAAGACAAGCTCTAAGGTAATTATCGTGTACATATTTTCTTTTATGTTCCATATATCTTTTGAATAATTTATTAATTTTTTTTATTACTGTTATGGATATTTTGTGATACAAGATTCATAAAAAAACAAAAAAAGAGAAAGAAACGTTCAACAAATTTGTTGAGAAGAACATTTTTTATTTTATACAAAGAGGCGGATAATTTTCTTTTCTAAAGATATTTCGTTATTTTCCTATAATTATCTAGCTGACATTATATGATCGTGCAAAAACAATTTCGAAATTTGTCTTTGCATTCTCTTTGTAATGACAAATTAGTATCATTAGCAAATGTAAAACAGTGTTTTAGTAGCGATATCTGTATACTGTTAGTAAGATTTGCTTGTTACCACTCGAAGTATTAAGACGTCGAATTTAAAAAAAAAGAAAAAAAAAGCAAAAAAAGATAATATATATATATATATATTTTCTTACAATTTTCAAGACTTTCTCGTCGTGTCGTTTAAGTACTTAAACAGGATTTGTAACGGGCTATTTTACCTGTATATGGTTTACAAAAGTTTATCAATGCGTTATGTTTTTGTCTACTTGCATCCGTTTAATAAAATGTTCCATTAATTTATAATAACGTTTTTCATTACGTGTTGAGATCAATCAAAAAATAAAATGATACATCGTTTCATTTTCACGATAACGATTTTGGACAAGTAAAATAAATGTACATCTTCTCAATAAACATTTTTTTTACTACTTGGTTTAGCACGCTAACTGCCACATTAAAACTATTTAAAATTTCGTAACTTCCAGTACCTAATGCGCATATTTCTAAATAAATAAGTAAAAATTAGGGGTTCTTATAGAAATGCAAGTGTCACGAATACGTGTGTGACATGGCAGTCAATATATTAGATGATTCGAAGAATCAATCTAACTAGTCTATCGTACGCTCTTTTAATACAACAAGACCCTTATGAAATAGACAGATATGATATCCTTCTTTATTTCAATAATAGTGGAATGACATTACAAGGTGTACAGTGATACATACGTAGTAATCCTAAATCTTTACATGACTTGTTAGTAGTTTGTCTCTAATAGATATTGATTTCTTTAATATTTACAGAAAAGTATATTATCCTTTATTTCGTGTAAGACGCAGGATTATTATTGTTATTATTAACTACTTGTATGAGTTTCTAAGGTGAAACTTTGCCATTTATCGTGGTTGTGTGTATATTATATATATTATATACATACATATATAATATATATAAATATAATATTAGAGTACATATTACATCAACAAAATAAAACCAATTAAATTACTAACATCTTCAAAGAAAAAATGGAAAATGAGAAATTATCGTTACCAATCTCTTCCGTAAATTGTACGACGCAAGATAATGGCACGATATCAGTAATCCTTGATACCGTAAACAGTCAAGACCGTTCACGGTTTCAATCATAAAAAATAAATTAATGCGCACTTTTATCGAATGAATGGCACTAATTACGAAACTAGATTGAACAATCTAAAATATACTCCCAAGCGGTCATTTTATTGTTCGCGCGAGTGAATTGTTTATGAAACGTCTGATCAAATTTTGATCTTAAGTGGTGTGCCTTAACATAATTTATAGCCTTATGTCTAACTTCTTACGGACTCGGTCTAAACAAAGCGCAAATGGCAATTAAATATGCTTCTAAGTCTCACATTTTGTACGCGTCATGAATTAGCAAACTTCGAAAATCAAACTCTCAAAAACAAAACGAAGTATATATTTAAAAAAAAAATAACAACTAGCCCTATGGTATAATATGTTGTCCAGGCTGTTACAATTTATGAAAAAAGAAAAAAAATTTTTTAACGATTATTAAGATCACCACGAAATAATCAAACGCAAAAATTATGTGAAACGTTTCTCTTTTATTTTTCACTAATTTAGCGTTCATTTAAATAGTTGTGAAAACGTTCAGTATTAGTTAGCGTGATAAATATTTGTTTTACCAAAAATTGCCGATTTCTTGATTATAAAATAAAGTGTTGCTCGAATAAAAAAAGAACGCACTCCTCGTGTGCTTTTGGAATGTCGTCGTAATAAATTGATAGAGAAAAGTAAAATGAAACTGCAATTACATGATCCACTTTGTAGTCCATTGACAATGGAATCCTCGATATCTGCAGTGTGTTACGTTTGTTAGTTGCCTGAGAGTACCATTTATGTACAGTAGATCTTATTAGCACTTCTATTGTTCCATGTCTTAGACTAGTTTCATACAAAACGTAGTGAACTTATCGCTAACATCTATTGTAACGTTTTTTATATTTTTTTCCTTTGTATACGCTCTGCCTTTGAATCGGTTGTTTAATACAGAACCACTTTTTAAAGCACGAAACATACTTGGCGAATAATATCAATAAGATACGCACCGAATTTAAGTAAAAAAAGAAACGAGTATACTAGAAAAAAAGTAACAAATATCAACAAGTAATATCTCAAGATCAATAATCAATATCGTAGGATAAAGCTGCCCTCGCTAAAAGCACGCGACGAATAGTGCATCTGAGGAACCTGACGAACAGTATACCGAGCATATATCGTTAACAGACCGAATAGAATACTACATGTAATTATGGACGTACATTGTGTATTCAAAATTGTGTCTGACATATGTCTCTTTCTTGTAAAGTACAAGTTCTTCTTCCAACGCTTTCCCTAGTTAAAGTAACCTTATTTTAATATATGTATACGCATAATATTCACGATTAAGTTTGCGTTTCTGATTTAACATAGCCTTTCTAGTTTGAACATACGTACACGTATACACTTGAATCAAAATACTTACTGCATCACACAAGTTCTTTAAGGTTATCGCGAGTTTCGCGATTACGGGAATGTATCAGGTGATGCATTTCACCTCCAGGTGCGCTATCTCGTCTTAAATCTTTCATCAAGGCTGGAGCGATCACTTCTCTCTTATTCGCCGCCTCTTTTATGCTCGACAACGTTTTGCTAAGCCACGGCCAGCTATTTCTCGCCGCTTGAAGTTCAGAAGCAGTGGCGTGCAACTGATGCGTCAAGTCCTATGAAGCAAACTAGCCTTGTGATCCTTATAATTCTAGACAACGCATACGAATAATATACGGTACATGTATTTACCTGATTCCTACATTCAGCCTCAACGTGAGCCAGTTTAGTTTGGGCTAATTCCAGTTCCAATTCTCGTACCCTTTCTTGTACTCTGTGCAACATGGGATCTATCCTATTTTCCAAAGGATGCGCAATGTCTGCTAATATGTTGGACGAATCCATTATGCAACTCCTACATTTTTCACACTTGGAAACCTTAGACTAGAAGGCACAGATGTTTCTTATAAAACGTCGACATTTTGAATTTGTACATTTTCTAATCTAGTGTACGTCACTTACCCGTAACTCGCTCAACGTTGTTTTGGCAGCATTATAATCGTCTTCTAAACGCTGGCAGATCTAAAAAAGACATTGCACCCGTTAGCACGATAAAAATTAGTTCACTTAAACGAATTAGTCATAGACATTCACCTGTTTGTATTCAGCAATGATAATATTGCTTCGTCGACTTTCCGCGTCTGCCCTCGCCACTTCCCGTTGCAACATCTCTTTAATTTGAATCAATTCAGCCTCTAATCTTTGTTTCTCTTCCTCGTTCCTCGCCACTGTTCCACGTAGCTGTTCTACCTCGTTACTATATTCATCCGCATTTTCTTGTGCTTCTATATTACAGACAAACATTACGCGTCAGTATGCATTTTACTTCAATCAGCGCGACATATTAGAAATAAGATAAAAACATTTCTGTATAGATATACTATCTACAAGAGCACTCGTATCAATTTTGTAATAACTTTTTTTGGCGGAAATGATATTTTAGTGTTCCATTATTAAAATCATTCTTACTCTTTATCAGTAATTTTACTTCATGGCTCATGGTTCTGACAGTAGAACATTAAAAACAGATGGCTTCAACGTTACTGACGGACACGCGATATCTTGCGAAAGCAGATACCGATGTCCCACTACACATTGTTTGGTGAAGAACATAGCATACCCAATTTTAAACTGCTGGCACGGCTATTAACTAGATACATTACCTATCGTAAATTACGAATGTGTAGATAATAATGGAATTTTAATGTTCAATTCATAAAATACAAGGAAACTTAATTTCCTTAAAGCCATTCGCTTTAAACCAGTATAATATTGCATTGTGTAATCGCTATTTTAAATTGTAGTATTTTTTACAGTATGTTTTGATATTTATCGGTGCTCGTAAACCTTTACAACTTTTTATACAAGCCTTTGTTAAACCTAATTTCTTACCATATTGTATAGGCTAACTTACAGAACAATTTTTAAATAGTGCATACAATCTGTTCTATCTAACAGTTAGTAGTTAGTAAAATAAAAGCTGGAAGCGTATTTTACAAGTACCTTATTACATGCAATTCCAACCGAAGCAAAGAAATCAAACCAAGAATGTTTGAGGAACAGGATGTACACAGGTAAATTGACAAAACTAGAAACGATGTTCTAAATGGACGATTTATTTCCAATAAGAAGTAATAAATAATTTTTGTATAAAAATAAATATAAGATAGTATACAAAGCAACATGGCTGAATAAGCATGAAAATATTTTATTATAAACAACACAATTGTAGAAGTGTACAAATATTACAACATAAATAATTTGATAAAAAAAATTTGATCAAAAATAGAGAATTATATTAATTATAACGTGTAAGAAGTGCGTATTGATGGTAACAAAAAAAAAATGCTAATAATTTTTGCTTCGTTAGCAGTTGTAAAAAAATACCTGTGTTAAGCATAACACAACCAATCAATGAAAAATGTGCAACGGTACGATACAATTATCAGATTAATTATTATTCTTGCAAGTCTGCTGAATTTAAGGGCGTTCTAGTTTGAAACTATGTACAATCGCGCGAACAATACTTTTGACAAGAATACTTATTTGACGTGATACGACATTGAGTAGGGATAAACGTACACGACAATAGCAATGATATTAGCATACATATATTTTATGTTTCAACAACTGGTTGAAATCTTACGCTTGTGTATAATTATCATTGAATTCGTGTTTTATCAGCGCATTTACACAGCTTGCAGCTCTGCTGAATTTTACAGAGTGTCAAATAAATGATGGAATTATACCGAGCGAAATGCTGCGCGTATATATAAAATAGTTCATTTAAAAATTTAAAAGCTACATATATGAAAAAAAAAATCTATAAGATCGTTAAACTTTATTTTTGAGTATATTAATCACCTTTTAATTACTTTTTCATGTCTGTGTTTTGCTATAAAATCCTTGTCCTTTTTATACGACGTTCAAAATTTTATATCATTTTCTTTAACACCTACCCGTTTTAATTAATTATCTTTTAATAGAGAGCAATATAAGTTGCAAAATATATATCAAATAGTACTAACGAAGAAAATTTATTAAACAAATTTTTAACGAGACTAGATGAACTTAGTTTATCCTTTACGCGACTTAAACAACATCTAGTACGTATATTGATGAACTAGCACCACATTACTGACATTAATAGTAAGATCATCACTATATGGTAATCAATAAAGGATTGACGATTTTCTTAGCAAACGAGACTAGCAGAAAACGTTATATAGTTTGATTTAAACTCATAGTCTACTCTATTTTAATAAGTAGAGAAATCGTGTAATTACTATTGAAGATATCTGTCACCCAAGTTACGTAATCGAAGGAATAGATTTTTAAAATGTTATGTTTAAAGTATCCTAATTTTAACCATACGGAAACGTATACGTGTGTGGGAAGCTTCAATGTAATAAAAATAAATTTACAACCTCTCACCAAAATTTTCTCAATTTTATACAGATTGCACATGCACACAAAATACCATAATATTGTTTATAGTATCAGGTGACTTGTCAAATGGCACTGTAAGTGTTCGTGAGATTCAAATATAAAATATAAAATTACCTTTTAGCGTCATAAATTCTGCTTCGTACTTCTTCAACTTCTTTAAGGTAACCGAGCAAGCTAACTTCATTACGTAGCGTGATACTTCTTCGTTTCGGCAACGTTTGGGCAAGTGTACCCGGAAGTACTTCAATATACTCTCGAAATCCAACTGGAGCAGTTCCTTTTTACACAACTAGGAAACCAAACTTTATTCGTGACTTGTTTCTTAAACATAACGATCAATTGAATACATGTATTTGATATCTTACCATTAATAGCGCAAGAGCGACTTGGAACAATGTATCGAGCCCTTGTAAAAGGAACACATCGAGTATATGGAAAACAAGATAAAGTGGAAACCTGGCGGTAAATAAAGTTAAAAACCATTGTGCAGCGAACATGTGTGTTTCTACGCCACGATCACAGAAGTGTTTATAAAGTTCTGGCAACTGATCCTAAAAAGAATCTATAATACTTAGTATATACATCATTATTATGTGGTAATAAGTAACGAGCATATAACTAACCTCGATTAATCTGTTCAGCTGATAAAATCGCATATGGAGATTGTCAAATCTATCCTTGTACAAATCTCTTAGACCATAGTCGTACATCAATTTAACCAGAACACAGAAAGCTTGTTCCTCCGGCATCTACAAGAAATACCTAACGTTTTTCTTGTCATTAAATACCCTAATAGATGACTGCGACAGATATAGAAATGTTCCTTAAATTATAGGCACTGGATGACTGTTACTTACGTGAAGTAATAAACTAGCAACTAAAAAACTAAGTCCTTGACAATATCCAACTTCTTCATCGTAAACTGCGTACGCTCTACTTATTCTATACAAAGAATCTTGTCCCAAACCACCTGTTTCTTTGAAATAGTCATGGGCAGGAAATGTTCTACTAATATCTCTTAAAATAACGCTTTCGCAACTGCTTTCCTGTAGATACAAATATAATGTAACATCGACCAAAGTGTATATCTATATTCTCATACATTGTTTCGGTTTACCTTAGTAATTAAAGTTCTATATTTATCCATCATTTCTTGCGAATTATTACAGTTACTTAAACGTTGCCACACTTCCCCGCGTAGAGCTTCAGGAATACCTTGCTTTGTAAGCTTTATAAGAAGTTTCGGACGTTGTTCGTTCACTTGCCAGCTATCTAACACTTCTGCCCAACTGGCTAGTTCATCCGCGGAACAATCCTTTGATACCTCCCCCGTTCCGCTTAGCATTGGTTCGTCACCATCTGCACAATACAAATATATCATTGATACACAGGTCATACTTTTACAAGGAAATAAATAATCTGAAACATTTATACCTGAATCTATTTCTTCCTTAGGTGTAAGTGTATCAATACTAGTCAAAGACGGTGATCGAATCAATGAAGCTAAATTAAGAGCAAGATTTAATCTGTTCCTGTCTAACTCTCCTGAAGTTTCGATACTTTGTACTTCATAGTGAACTTCTGTTCCATCTCCAGATATTATCTAAAAACCACAATTAATACGTGTAGAGTAACTAACATTTGAATGAATAAAAGATTATATTCGTAATAATGTCGTACCTCTTTTGAATTAAGATAAAATTGTTGTACAAGATTTCGTTTATTAAAATACCAAAACCTTTCATTCTGTGGAAATACTTTAACCGATGTTTCTATTATAAATCTAACAGGTTCTCGAATATCGCGTATTACTAAATCAACAGCAACTGTCATGAACGTTTTTCCCTCTCTAGGAATTTCTACGTTAAGTGCCTCTAAAGCTGGATCTGCAGGATCCCAATGTCCACATATGTTGTAACATTGTTTGTCCTGTATTATTGGGCCAGCATTGACTTGCTAAAAACAATACTTCGTTAATGGAATATTCGAAAAAATATTATTCATTGTCGATTATAAAAGTTTAATTTTACCATTTCAAGTAACCGCATGTCACTGTGTTTAACGTTACGGCCAGGACTAACAAGAACTCCAAAGCACCTTTCAACTTCAAGTGTAATTCCTCCTTCCTTACTGGACACTTGCTGAATACTTAAACACACTTGTTTAGCCACGTTACTTCGCAGTTTAAAACAATTTCTGTCTTTAGGAACTGTACTAAAACCTCCCTTTCCATCTTCTTCCTTAATTTCCATTATTACTTCAAAAATAAATACCCGAGAATTGGTTTTCTCACTTCCGATATTAAAACCATTGAAATCACTTCCCGTTAAAGAACTAGTCATTGATCGTGGTATTCTGTGAAAAGCTTTCGAAAAGCAAGCGGAAACTTGCCCCACCTACAACGAATAAACGTACTTTTATATCTTAATTAAAATTGGAGATTATTTTATAAGATCTACACATACTGCTTCTGGTATGTCACATCGGAAAACGTGACACTGGTATATGGCAGATTCTAATGTATCCCCATGAGACCATGTAAAAGCAAAACATGCTGCACATGGACCAGTACTTTCTCCACGTGCATAAAACAAAATCCGCTGTACCTCATAATGTGCAATTGGCTGTTGAGTAGCAGCATCGTATAAACTGCCATATAACGAAAATAATAAATAATTTGATATAAAGAGATTAGATTGGAAAATACGGAATTTTAGGTAATACATACACAACAGAACCTTGAGAACTGCTAGGTACAGAAACAGAAACCTTGATTCCTAAATTAAGAGTCTGTTCTGCATTTAAAATGTTCATATTGTGTTGTATTTCAGATTCAGATTTTGGTACATTGATTGCTGCTGCTCCCAAATAAGTTACACCATTAAAAATAGTACATTCTTGTTGTACATGAGCTAAAGAATTCACTTCTATAATATAACAATGTTTCATAATGTTATAGCTGTCTATCAACATGTAATATTTGAAGAAAAAGTTATTGTTTATACCTTCATCAATAAAATCTTCTGGTTTCATGATATCCTGTTTTTCAGATGTAACCATACAAGAACTTACATCATAAAATTTACTTTGTCCTACTTTTTTTGTTTTTGGTTGATTTTGTTGTACACTGCTCACTATTTTATACTCGTTACTTTCCATTTTTGAGTCTTCTGTTAATACCTACAAATTTTATCAATAATTCGGATAAATATTTCCATTCAATGGTCAAGATAATATAGATTAAATGTTGATAAATATCAGGAATATACACGAACCTCACGAAGATTATTCTGAAGATCTTCCAAATTGCCATTGTTGGCAATTTTCAACATGGGTAGTTCAATTAATGCTTGCTGCTGTTTTCCGTTACCTCTATCATTTACAAATTCATATTCATCGCTTGTTGCCACTGATTCCATTGATTTAACGCTCATACTATCCTCCATAACTATGTCTACAATAGCGCATATAAAATTATTGCTTTTTCATAATGCATGACATAAACTAAATGCAAGTAAACGTTTAGATATACATTTTAACATTGTTTAGCAGATTAACGCACACATGAAAATTCATATACTTCCAAGTAAAAGAAATCGTTGCAGTAAATCTAAATTAAAACAAAGTAAATATCCAATTAACATTATATGAAGCCACATATTAAATCTAAAGATAAATTGAATCGTGTGCACACTCTACGTAAGAAAGATACTTAATGCTCGTGTTCTATTTATGGAATAACAATGAATCAGAAGAGGAAAATGCTTCTCACGATTGATTACATTTTAGTCGCTATATTTCTCAAGTACAATATAATCTGTATATTTAGAAGACTGGGAATACCATTTGAGTAATGAATTCGATGGGAACAATTGAAGTCAACAGGAAAAATTTTCACTCTGTGGATTCTGTAATGATCGAACGTAAATCTCGCAATTTATCGTAGCACGGTCCATTTGAATACGAACAAAATAATTCACTCGGTTGCGAAAAGCAAAACAAGCATCGGGCGTACAAAGTTCGACGCGACATCGTTAAAAACACACTAACTCGAATTCATAATGTCGATTTGATTGTTGAATGTTTCGGATCATCTGAAATGCATCTCTCGAGCAAATCGAACAGGCCTCAGTTCGCGTGCTTTACTTGCTCGCCTCTAATTTTCACCCCCAGCAAAGAACAGGGATTACCCTCTCGCTGGCTCCAAAACTCGAGGTAACACCGGTGTCTCTCCTCGCATTACCGTTCATTAAAGCCACGGACACACCCTGATTCCTCGATCCACGCATCGATCTACCCACGTTTGCACGATTTTTTCAACTGATCCGTTAACGTTTACATGATTTTACACGAGTTGGAAATAAGTTCGTTTGACAGAAAGGACAACCTTGGCGTCAGCCATTCGAGCACTAAAGTTCCGGAAGTCTCGTTTGTTACGACGAATTACGGATGAATTACTTCAGAGCGCGCAACAACTTCGAATTGGCTCGAATACTTATCGTTTTATTCTCTACATTGATATTCATTAATTAATTATATTTATATTTCTTTCTATTGTACAATATCAATAATATATAACTGTTTTTAACTCGTCGAAATATTTGCATATATGTATATATATTGTCAAATTCAAAAAATGTATAGTTGTTCACATCACAGATTGTAAGTTAATAATAATAATTGTTTTCTGTATTGACGAAACGTTAAACAACATATACGTATCAGTCTGTAAGTATATTACTTAGTATATTCAGTTTTTATCCCGTTGCATTTTTAACATAAATCTATCAGTATCAGCGTATAAACATTTATTTTGTCATTGTACGTATCAACAAAACTCATGAAATACATTAAAGATTTTAGTTATTATATAAATATAATAATTACGATTAATATCTTTATATATTTAAACGATTTCAAAACTGTTTTATATAATGTTGTTTCAAATCATTTAATCCTATTTGCTACAATACCGTATCATATTTTAATTCAAAAATCGTAAATTGAATTGATACCTTTTCCATTTAAATGTCTATTTCGATTGGAGGAAATATCTCTCGTTATTATCGAAGAAACGCAAGTTATTCGATACTAAGATAAGAATGGTATACAAAAACGCCGATACTTGTCCTGGACGTTTTAGCGACAACCAATCAGGAAACGCGTCTCGTTCGTCGCGCGCCTATCTCTTAACCAATAGAATAATCGCTTGAAAATAACCTATAAGGGATATCGATAGGTGGCGCAGCTGCAGTGTCGTCGGAGAGCGAGACAGAGTCGCGACGCGTCAGTTCACAGACGACCTCCGTTCCGTGTGTTGTGAATAAAGTTTTTTCGTCGTAAAATTGTCGGGTTCCCGCATCGAGGCTCGTTATAATCTCGCGTTTCCCGTGGGATAAGTTCGTAATCATGAAAAGTGTGAGACTGTGCGAGATCGGCTAGCATCGACGAGAGCAGGAACAAGTCGAAAACGAGTGAGTACAATTCAGTGCTCGACACTATTTTTCTTTGCTTCTTTTTTGGAACGGGCGTCACTATCACTGACGATTTCGCGGTTTATTACGATTTTATCGATACCGAAACACCGTGTCGTCCCTATTCGCGTACAATTTAATAGGTTCGCGAAATAAGATACGTACACTTCTCGAGACGTTAAGAGAAGGAACGAAAATGAGAGGTTATAAAGTCAAGACGGATATTGTCCTGCACCTGCCATCATGAGACGATGGTTTTGTATTTCTGCGGAGCATGGGATCTGTTTTGTCCGTCAAAGTATTTCTTATCACGATGCAACTTGCGTTTTCGAGTTAACAAGAAGCTCTTAAAACGTTGTGACAATACGGTAGATCCCCTCGAGTACTGTTTGTATTCGTTGAGAAAAAACGGGATATGTATGTACACTGTAACGACGCGATGCATGATCGTTGGGCTTTATTTGTCAGTGATAATAAGGTCGTTTGACAGAACGGGGAATAAAATATCGGTGTGGAATTCTCACAACTTAATCGGAAAATTGATATCCGCAAATCTGTCACTGCAATAGTCGAAGCAATGGCAACGGTATATGCTTGTTTATCCTCGCGTAATTTTATCTTTAGAAAAGCTCAATGTCAGTTGGAAAATGTCATCGGGATTATTCACGCGTTGTTTCTAGCCGGCCACCATCTAAGCTCAAAATAACTGAATTACTTTCGAACGGTTTACGTAATTATCGTTTCGTTTCGCGGTTTTTTACGCGTAACCCGTTTTTAGGTTATCCCGATTGAAATACTTATCTCCGTCGATGTTCCAGTGCAATTAGAAGTTATGTAAATGTACGGCTAGAGCACGTGACAACTAGTTCGTTTAAATAATACACGTAAACTGTCAAGTTGTTAATAAGATAATATAATTACTGGAAAATAAGACATAAAATGTACGATAACGCATATAGCGTTGTACTTTTTCTTACAAAACCCTTCTCGATGAATGACACGTTAGCGACAGCGACGTTCGCGCGTAATCGAGAATTAAACGATTCCATTCGTAATTCGTGACGTTTACGTCTCTTGATCGCGTTACATTATCGTGATTGCAACCATTCTTAACGATTACACATGCTACCGTGATAAAACGTTTCGTTTTATTAAAATCGTACGAAAGTGTCTTTGACTTGGACCGCGTTACAGTTTTTGTATGGTGGTCCACCGGAAGTGGAACACCTATTCTCTTCCTTACAAAACGAGATAACTGCTCGAGGCACACGAATGGCATCGTTTCATTCCTCGAGCAAGGCAGATGTTCTTTTTTCATTTAATATCGCGTGTTTTCTTTTAATTCGACTTCCACATCTCAACTAGTTTCCATTTTCCGAACTTTATGCTATTTTTTTACTTATGAACGAACAAAGGTGATGAGAAATTTCTTATCGTTTCGGAATAATCTACGGCACAAGTATGAATTGTTCCGTCACCTTATCGATGACGCATTGATAAGTTGAAAATTACTTTGCGCCTCTAATTGTGACAATTAAAATTTTTTGTCAGTTTTACTTTGTTCAAGATACGTTTTCATTCGAAGATTAAAAACCAATCCATTAAGTTGAATCTCTCCCGGAAGTTGGAAAGGCAATTGTTAGATATACATCGAAAAACAAAGCTACGGATTGCAAAATAATAGAATACTGTTCATTTCATTTATCGGCAAGAAGTGCAACCGTTTGAACTCTCGCAGTATATTTATTAGAAATGCCTGTACTGCACGGTACAGTGGACTCTTGTTATATTATCACAGTCAAAGGTATAAAAGCGGAACATTCTTGGAGTATACTGGATCGGACAAGTTCATCGGTGCGCGTTGGGAGAAATCGTGGCAATTGTATGCGGCGATAGAAGGCGTAGAGACGTTAGGAGCGGCGATAAAACGCGCGACGATACAGCGCGTTGCGCGGTCAAGAGTTCTCCCGGAGTTCCAAAGTAAATAGAACGTTGAATACGACACACGGTTTATAGAAGCGAACTGCTGCATCGTACGATTGTTCGTAGCGAACGTAGACAACTGGTGGTCACCTACTTTGTAGTTTGTAATCTGACTCCAGGAAGTGCGCATTCATTTTCGCTTACTCGCACGTTTCCAGCGGTAATTAACATTTTCAAAACAATTGCTTTCGGGCCGCGTGTTACGCGGTGGTTATATCTTCGCCTGGCAGAAGGGTGGTAGCTTTCGAAGTCGTGCGAACATGCCTATTGGAAATGTCGATAAAGGTTCACTGACATTCGCTCGCGAGAACGTTCACCCACGAACATCGACACCACGGTGTTTATTTAGTAACGATTGCTTGCGGAACAAAGTTCTGCATCGTTGATTGTCATTAAATTGTTGCTAAACGTTTTTCTCCTACTGTTCTTTTTTGCGAAACGCATTATGCGGTGAGACAACGTTTCAATTAATATTAAACGCTTTTGCGCTTCTCTTTTTGAACATAAACTATCTGAATTTGTATATCTTTTAAGCTGTATATCATAGTGTTAAAATGCTTGTAGCCATCGAATTAACCAGATCTGTTTAAAAAGTCCGGCAGAAGCTAAGCAGAAGTCGATGATCCGTTTTTCTTCTTCCACGAAAAGCAACCAGCTCCCCCTCGTTCAATCACCGTGCTACCAAACATCCGTGCAACACGTGTTTCTCGATTAATGCCCGCGCGCAAGAAACCATACCGCGATCATCGTCCAGTTTTTTCTTACTAAAAACGTTCCTTTAATTTTCAGTCTCGACGACGAGGATGGCGTGCAAGGGTAATCGCTGTTTCTGAGCGTCGGGACCGAGAGGAAAATACAACGTTCAACATGTCGTTGAAGAGGCTAAGAACGAGATCCGCTCAGTCGGTTTCAAACGTTCAATTTCGTCGCTGGAGATCGTTATAAATCAAAACTAATTAACTCGTAACAAAGGAAATAATTAAGCAAGGCAACTTAGTATTTGAAGAGATCGAAGGAAAATAAAGGGAACTGCCTTATTGTCGGAGCAGAAGCACGAAGATATATCTATATATACATACATATATATATATTTTTCTTTTTGTATTAAACGTAAGACGGGTTAGTGGACGATCGTTCTCTGTGAGAATAATTTCGACTCGGAATTACCGTGTTGATGCTCGTATTTAGTGGAAAACCGTCGTCGCGCGTTCACTGGCTGGCATATCGATTCGACTCTCGTCGCGATTAGGAGAAAACCGCGTGTGCGTATTGGATCTTTGCTGAGATTATGGCCTTCATGATGAAGAAGAAGAAGTATAAATTCTCGGTTGAGGTGGACCTGGAAGAGTTAACCGCGGTGCCGTTCGTGAACGCAGTGCTGTTCGCGAAACTCCGATTACTCGACGGTGGTTCTTTCGTCGATCATTCGACGAGGTAAGTCATCTCGCTATCTTTTCGTCTTTACAACTTTTTATTTACCCGCTAATCGTTACTCCATACTTCCGACGAAAGGAACAGGGAAGTTTACCGACCATAAGCGCTAATTTATTCACGCTGTTCATAGACATCCCCTGTGTACAGGCTGATAATAATGTGAACGGAAAAAGTTTTTGTTATACTTTATCACCGGCATTTTATATTTCTCGCGAAGCCAAGGTTTCACTCTCCCAAATGGAATAGTATATGTTTTTTAACGTCGCGTGAATTCGTTCGTGTGCTCCGCTATGACCCACAAAAGCACAATGCAAAAGCAGAAATAAAAGAAATTGAAGTTAAACAGTCGACGTAGATAATTGCGTTGTTAATAGAATACGGTACAACATTTTTCTCTAATTTTTCATGTTACCGCGAACACCCTGTGTATTCAAGAAACGAGTATATTTTACCTTGGAATACGGTGAATTTTTTTATGGTGAAGGCTTTGTTACAAGAACGTTTTTGACGCTCTGAGACGATAAATTGTCAGTATGCTAGAAAGAGTGACGCATTCGTAAATCGTTCGTTTTCAGATATCTGCAAAGATTAGTTATAAAAAGAAGTCGATTTTATGACACGTCGTAGCAAGAATATCTCGTTTTCGGCAGTTGATAAACTCTGAAAATCATTCAAAATCGCAACGATAACATTTATATAATTTCGACACGGAACGAGTGTAAGAATTCTAAATAAAAAGTAGTCGAACCGATTCGAGTTTGTACCTAGTCGTGAACTGTACGTGGAATCGTGTAACTTTTGTAATAAGTTGAAAACTGTACCTATGCATGGTTATAACTATAATGTATCGTAACAAGCAGATTGTTAGACGAGTCTGAAAAGATTTCCCCCTGTTCTTCATCGTTTAGGTAATTTCGTTATATTCGGCAGGATATTTAGCGGCGAGATAAACGATAAGTCTGAAAACAGTCGGCGCTGCTCGTACACGAGTCGCTCCAGCTCGGTAAGCAGCGTTTTACGACTCGTTGAATTAGACTATTCTATGTTTAGTACAAAGACGTTCATGGATCCGTTTAAATGATTAAGTTCCTGTTGAAAGTACAGCTCCGGAAGCGCGTTAGAAACTCGTTTAAACTTGGATTTTATGTTCCTCGTGTATTGCCTGTGAATGAAACATGCGCTCCCCACGCGAATTAATCGTTTCATCGTGAATGGATTATCTGAAACTCGGTAACAAGGTTTCCTCGACCTATAACTTTTTTGCGTTCGCGTTTAATGTTGCGAGATACCGAAAACCTGTCTAAATACGCCCTTTTTAGTCCAAGATGTTTCGATCCGGTGTTGCATCGCGATAGGCGCAAAAAGACGCGAAAAACTTGTTTCGCTAGCTTCACAGTTTAGATCCCGAGAAATTAGCAATTCAAAGTTGAATATTCAACTGGCGGGAGCCTCGTTCAACCCTCGTGCGAGCAATCGAGTATGCAAGTAGCTATTTGTACGCTGACGAGCATGGTAGGCTTCCCTAGGGAAAACGGTGACATAGGAGAAAGTGGCACCGCTACTTGTTGGCTTTCGGTTGGTCAGTTTTCAACTTGCCGATGTCGTTCGCACGAAAACGCGTAAGCGGACAAATTAGTTGGGAAAGATAAGAACTCCTACTGCGAACCGCAAAGTATATTTCGCTCGTGACACAATGGGGTGGACGGGGCTCGATTAAAGCGGATAGCCGCAGAAGAAGCGATCGATTTTTTATTTTTGCTCCCCCTCTTTATTCGGTTAGTTTAGTCGAGCAGAAGCCGAGGAATTTGTTCGCGAGTCGACACGGAACGACTTTCAACCTGTCTATTTTAAAGAATTCTCTATCAAATTAAAAGAATTCTCTATTAGTCTCGAGGATTTGTTAGAGTTTCAAGGATGAGTGCCATTGTCACTTAGGACTTTTAACGTGTTGGATTTATAAGTGTTTCCTTCAGCAAAAATCATCGGGTCGTAAACTTTCGCTAACGTTGGAGTTTCGACTCAAGAGGTTGCAGTTGTTTGTTTTTCACCATAGGACCCATAGGGTCTATAGACTCGTAACGAGTTTTCTTATTCTTACGGTTTTCCTTGACGAGTAAAGACGTGCCTTTCCGAGCTTCACAAGTTAAATTAAAGTTTCTGTTAAAACATAATTGAGTATCATTACTTTATTTCGCCGCCTATTTCCTATATAACGCGTTCGAAATCGGAACTGCGATGTACAATTTTCTTCTTTTTATGCCTTTTATGTTGCATGAGCAATGCTACCGATCAAAAATTATAATTTTATTATACATTGTGGAGATAATTCACACCGTAGAAAGTGTTAGAGGCGATTGACTGTAAGAACAACATTTAGCACAGTCTACACAGAAGGTTAGGAAAAACTTTATAGTCGACGCAACTGGCATGCTTCGCGTACGATCATTTGGCACGAGAAAGAATCGATGATTTCGTGGGAAGGAAATCGACAAGGGAAATGAGTCACGTTCCTAGTAGGTATATTGTTCTCCCGTGGAAGATTTCCGGGGACCGTCGTCGTCCACGGTATCGCGAGAAACTTAAAGGAAACTGCCTGGATCGGTGCCAGGATGTTCTATGAATTCTATCTTCTTAGCGAACGACTTGGTGATTTTATTATTTCGCGATCGGTATGCTTCGTTTGCTTTCGATGATCGAACTCGGCGCGGATTAGTTGGACCAAGTCCTAACGAAACATCCTTTATTTTCCTGCGATATAGCGCGTGGACGAACAAGCGAATTAACCAGAAATCTGGGTCTTTTCAAGGATTTTGTATTCCAGCGTTGGCTAACTATCCTGAAATGCAAGACGAAAGAAATTGCAATATTCTTACAACAGCTTTTCTTCAAAAGTCTTGAAAGATTCAAGATGTTTCTCGGTCGTTCTTAGAAATTCTGAAGGAAACTTTTCTTCGATATCCTGCGAATTTCAGTAGGAATCGTGTTATTAAAATTTTAGAAAAGCCTTGTTATCCATTTTAATAGGAACTATCTCGCTCGATGAATCACGAATAATATCGTTAATTGCTCGAAAGTTTGTCCAATAAAATGAGATAAATAACGCGATTCTGTTTACACTGCAATTGTATACGAATCGCAAGTAACGAACTTCTGAAATATATCGGTGACTGAACTTGAAGAGAAGTAACGAGAGAAATCTCGTAGAAACTTGCATCGTTCTCACTGACATAGATCTAAATGAATCGTCTTTCTCCGGCGATGATTTCTTTCTTCGTGACTACATTTCCACGAATTCGTATAAACAAAGGCTGGAAAATTATACGTTTCCTAATTCGATTACGGAGTGCGATAGAATAAGAAGATTTCGAAGAGACAGATTCTTCGAACTTATTTAGCTCTCCGAAGTACGTAACGTTACAAGATTCCGCTTGAAAGCTTTAATTCCAATTCCGAATTTGAACGCGGTTTAAAATTAGAGCGAAAACAACGTGAAAGTAGACAGATTGAAAAGGACTTTCATCCATCTTCGAAGCATCCTCTAACGAAGTTGGAACCTTCGGTTCGAATTAAGAAGAAACCACTGGTCCCGATTGAACAACCGCAAACAGTGGGTAGAGAAAAAGTTATTGTTGCAAGGGAGAAATAAGGACGTTGGATGGCTTCGTGAACTGATTATCTCGGTGCGCGTCGGTGGTAATCGATGAATGGAAATCCAGGTGAAGCTCGCATCCCGTTTTCCCTCGAGTCCAAGGTCTTTTCCCGAAGGATACGCGGCTGACGCGAACAAGTTTCACTAACAGCTTTTCCTCCGAGCGAATCCAACGGGAGAAATTCAACGGAAGGTCGGGAGCGAATCGATCGAGGCCGCAGCGAGTTTATCGAACACGCTTTGGGGACCAGCGACGAGGAAGTAACTAATTGCGAGCGGCTACTGATTGCCGCGATTAAACTTATCAACCGAAAAAACTGACGGTCGGCTCGTTTAATTAAACGCTTTCGACCGTCGCCCGCTGTTAATTATTCCGGCTGTGTCGAGGCACGCGGAGAAGAAATACCGACTCTGCAAGAAAAAGATTCGCAAAGGCGTTGTTACAAAGAATGGACTCTCGTTATATCGCCAGGTCTCGCGGTGGCGCTCGTAGGATCGAACGATCGCTTCCTTTGCCTTGAACCATGACCTTCCGTGGAATCGGGCGAACCAGAGCCTGGAAATAAACCATCTCGTGACGAAAAGTTCCAACAAGCAGGCTCGCCAAGATGGTAGAAAAGATTGGCATGCAAATTAGGGGAGCGAGCGTCGCTGGAAAATGAATTGGATTATGCGTGTCATTGAGAGAAAGCCAGGGGGTTTCGAACTAATAAATTATAAATAACTTTCGTGACTTTTTATCGAATACGATCGAACTTCGATAACTCGAGCGGGAAGGGTTCAAATCTTTGCGCTATAGCGGTGTCTTTCAAAAAGCAACGTTTTAATTTTTACGACATTTTTTAAATATCTTGTATAATCAACCAGATGATTGGCAAGTTTTATCCAGACCGATGTTTATTCTTTTTCTTGTGTTAAAAGAGTCGTTCGAAAAAAGTATTCTTCGCGAGAAATATTCTTCGATTACGTTATTTAAGCGACTTGAAAAAAAGTCGAACAAGCGTGTAATTAGAAATCCGTCGCACCAGTCATTTTCGTAGCTTCGAAAGTCAGCATCGATGCAAAGAAAAGCGACAGTGGGAAACGGTCTAAAGAGAAACGCGCGATTCTCTCGACTTCGATACCGCTAGAAAGTACGTTGATTCGTTCTCGTCCTGATTTACAAGGCGCGAAAATTGAAAGAGAAAAGTTTAACTATTGCCAAGTAAAAATGAGATTACAGGAAAGCAGAGAAGAATTAACCTTCTCGCGAGCGGAAGGGGTACGCGTGTACAAGGAATCTGAAGGTTGGGATCTGATTGATACGGTGCGCTAGAAAAGGCGGAGAAGATTAAAGTTCGCTCGTAAAGTT